ACAAGAGGAAACCTGAGAACAGTTGTCAGGACAGGTTTCTCCAAAGTTCTCCATCAGATAGACAGGAGGTTTGTGGTCTTCAACTTCATTTCAAACAGCCCCAGGAGGCCTCATGCCTTCAAGCACCTCGTGCCATGCAATGCACACAGTCAGCATCATGCTACAAAAATACCACTCTGGCAGCTGGCAACACAAATCTCTCATTACAATGTACACCTGGGACTGAAAAAACACAAAACCCAACCATGTCTCATGGCAAAGGGGGGCTGCATTGAGCCCAGGGGAGGAAGATTCAAATGCTTTGCAGTGCAGATGTGGCCCCTCCAGGCCAAATGGCTGATGGCATGGTTTTTCTCTGCAGAGCAGTACACAAAACCAGCACAGGCATAGACGTTGAATTCTCCAAATAGAGGGTCTTAACACTATTGAGAGAATGGGTTTGGCCACTGTGATTAGAAAATAAACCCACTGTATTCCAACACTGTGGCAGGCTCAGGTTTGAGTTATCAGCTGAAAATGTATCATAGAAAAATGAAACAAGATGAATGTAAAAGATCTATGTTCTATAAGGGACTCCCATTGCTTTGCACTTTTGGATTAGTAGACCTACAAACAAACTGTGAAACTGCAAATACATTCTCATTTTTAGTCCTTAAAATAAAAATCTGTTAATTTGTAAGGAGATAGCACAACATTCAGAAAGTGTACTAAAACTCTGTCTAGTTCCTCCAGAGAATGTGGTTAATAAAATGAGTAAGTGAATTATAAATCCATGCCCAAAAGGCATAAAAAACCTTGAGCAAAATAATAGGTCTACAAAGCAAAGAAAATTTATCTAGCAAGTCTGCACACAACAATACTGAATTTCATACTCAGAAATTCTTCCAGCTCACAATTTTTTCAGGGTGTTTCAGCTCTGAGGACAGAAAAACAGGTAGAAATGAGCTATAGCTTACAGTCTCTTTTCCTGCAACTGTTTTTGAAAGCAAGAGGAGATACCAGGCAAGGTGGCTGAAGCAATGTTTCTTGTGAAAGAACAAAACTGTCAAGTCTGTGGTCTTCCAATGGGAAATAAATTCTTTGACACACAAAATTGTTTTGAAAGACCATAAAAACAAAAAGAACAATTTTTGGCATTTTAGTTTGGGTGCAGATATATTTTTTCTTTGATTTTTTAAAAGGAGGCATTTTTCTTAGCCAAAGTTATGAATTTTAACTGATGTAGGTATGTAGCTTATGGGCATATATGGAACTCAGGTGGAGATTTAGATGTAGTAAGCCATTATTTGAGCTGGGACAGATGTATTTTAACCCCCACTGTGATATTCTCAGCCTCAAGGTGTCACTCACTATTTATAATTAAGTAGCATCTTTAAAGACCTCATTTCATGCCATGCAACACATATACAAAGGAGAGGATCTCCTTACGCTGAAAACCTTAGTACAATTACACAAAGCAAAAGTTGAAGGAGAAAAGAGAGGAAAAAATATGCCCAAAGTCACCAGGCAGGTCAGTGTGGAGGTGGGAATAAAGCCTGTTTTTCCCAGCTTGCTAGACAGTACGCTCGCTGTTCAGAACACACTGACTCTTCAAGGTCTTTCTGCACAACGTGCAGCGGGACTCGGGTTTTATGTAAGAGTTTGGCTTGAAGAAACTGTGTACTTTACACAGCAATGGCCGACAAATAAAAGAACAAAGGAAACACTGGAAGGACCACTCTGACCTTGAGACTTCACTAATATAGTCAGTCATTTTCGTCTGCTACGAGTCTATAGCCTGTGGGAAGATAAGAACAGATTCCCTCCAACATTCGTGGATCTGCTCTGTACATAACCCAATTTGTCATGCAAGGCCTCTGGGGCTGGGATTTGCCTATTAGCACTAGCATGCCCATCCGTCAGAGAGTTACCAGAGGCTGTAATGTGCATAGTATTAGCCCAGTTTTATTCCTCTGATTGGATTACATATGGCCAGCTATAAAAATGCTTGTGGCTGGTGCACATATTACTGGCACAGTAGTATCTTGGGCACAATGAAATCTTAAGTATTCCACTTCATGTCACCATATGTTTTCAGTCAGGCTGGCTTAGTCCTTTGAATCAAAACCAGCCCCCTAGTCAATACGCAAACACATGCTACTGTGAATACAATAGCAATAACAATAATGTGCCTGTATTTGCCTTTTATACTGAAAATGGGTGAATGGCTGCTGAAAAAGCTCTTACTCTATCAAAAACAGTAAGACATATTCATCATATTCTAGTATCATACTACCACTGTGCTTTGGAAGAGGAAGAAGTTGATAGAAAAAAAAAAAAAAAAAGAAGAGATGGCATAAAAACTGTACCTGTAAGTTAATATTTGGACCCGGGCTAATAGGAAGAGTGGCTGTTGCAAGTGTGCGAGTGAGAAGCTGGTTAGGAGGATTGCTGCTAGGTGGATGTGTGGCCTTCCAGTAGGCTTCCAGATAGTCAGCAAGGTGCTCACAAGCATCTTCAAGCTGGTTCTCATCAAGAATTACATCGAACATTTCCTGATAAAGGAAAGGTTTTAGTGAGAATAACCAACAGCTAAAGGGAGATCAGCTAGAGACGTGGATGACCGCACTTTCCATTAATCAAAAATGAACCACATTTCTTGAAATCTGTGTTAAGATATTTCACCCTTTTTGGTTTTTTATTGAATGCAATTGATACAAAAGACAACAATCATAACTTGCACTAATGTTACATATGCTAAAGCAAGTCCTCATGACTTCCACTTAGTAATGCACAAATGGTCAATGAAGATAGGAAGAGGCAGCTTGAGCAAATCTTAAAACTCAAATATCCAGAAAGAAAGGTTAAATATTGAAGTTTTTAGCTATTGGAACAAAATGGAACGGCAAGAAAAGGGATTCATTCCCCATATCTAGAATAACGGAAAGAAAAATAAGACAAACTAACACCAATAACTAGTAAGAGTAAGAAACACAAGTAATACAGACCATCCAGTTTGCACGTGTTGTACGTTAGGTAAGAGGTAAGAGATTAGTCACACAGTCTAATTTTAGGTATCTAAAGTTAGGAGGTGAGTTTCCTCCATTCCTTCCCTGGTCAGGGAGACAGAAGTCCTCCTGAAAACAGCTTTGAGAGCTTATGCTGGTGTCTAGCATTCTTCATTAGCTTCTTGAGGACCTGAGACTAGTCTCTTAGCTGAGATGCTTGAACTTAAAATGATGAAAACATCCCCCTCACTAGCTCTGTAACTGTAGCAAATTCCCATATCTACAACTGAACTGAACCTTCTTCTGGACTCTTACCCTTACTCCTTGACAGTTGAGTATGCTTGAATAATGCTTGCCATGTTTCAAACACAGCTGGGGTCTCATCATCCACTTTTAGGTGGAAATTGAAAGAATTTGCATCAGTGCACATCAACAGAAGAACTGCAGAGCTCTCAGCTATGCAAGTACCCCACAGCTCTTTGCCAAAACTGTGTCCAAGAACGCCAGCAATGATGGGCTGTGGTGACATACACCTAAGGGGAGCTACATAAACCTTACCCGAAACTGCCAGAGATAAAGCACAGTCACTAAGAGGGTTCTTTTTTAGACCAGTAACCCCAAAACAATTAACAAGTCAAACAAATGCTCAGCTTGTTCGAGTGGCAAATGTATTCAGCACGCATCCTAATAACTGCTTGTGACTAGGACTGTTTTTCCCTGCACCCTTGTGCAGAGCCCAGAGACCTGAGGAAGCATTCTGCAAAAAAGCAGTAGTGAAATATGACCAGAAGAGGGCAAACATTCCCAGAAATTACATAATTAACCTCGTGCTTGAAAAGAAAGGCACCTTCCAAAGACGAGACATAAATTAACAGTAACTCACGGGAGGACACTGTGCCAGTTTATCAGCTGCCACCATCTGAACATTAAGGTGTTTGGCCTGAGATTTCCCTCGAGATTTTATTAACCTCTGTAAAACCTGTGAAAAATAAGACAATAAAAGTGAGCAGGTTCAGACTTAATGTACATATATAACCACTTAAAGTGTTCACATTTTTAACTGTCCACTTGAGCAGATCAAATTCTTCATTTGCTGGCTTCAGGAGCATTTCCCATGCTGTACACATTTCGAACAAGCTAATTTTCATTTACTTTCCAACAACACCTTTCCTGCTGTGAGCACTAAAAAGTTCCTCTCCTATAGTCCTCTGCTGCTCCTGCCTTTGTTTGTTTCTAGGCTGAAATTCTTTAATTGCTCTCCTGAGTTCTCTTCCCATAATTCATTCTTCTCTTTCAAATGCCTCTTCACAAGGTCTGTGCAAGTTTTTTCACAGGATGAAAGAGTGCATTACCAGGAGATGTTAAAGTTTAGCAATCGTTCTGTTAGCATTACTTACATGATTGATACTAAAAGTGCAATCCCAATACAAAAAAATCACTGGAGCTACAGCATCTTTTCCAAAATGGGTTTTGGTAACACCAGAGCTAAGATATGTTTTTGATTAACAATATTTCACCATCCAAAGGGAAACAATAACAATATATAGCTCTGAACTTTAATGGGGACACATGATTATCTGCATTTAAGACCAAAAAAAGGGGAAAAAGAAAAAAAAAAAAAAAGACTGAAACAGCATGAATATCAGTAAAGTACTTACCTTAGGAGAAGAAATCTTTACGTATACTATAATGGGAGCCAGAGAGGTTTTGCTCAGTTGAGCTGGGTGGTTAATGGTATCAGCATCAAGCACTACCAACTGCAGTGTCCTTGCCAATTCAAAAATCCGTTCAATTTCACTTTGAACTTCAGCTGCAGATAAGTAGAAAATTAGAGTTATGAAAATATTAAAATGTGATTAGTTTTAAGAAATGTAAAAACGTGGTAGGCTGGTGTGTTGCTCCTCCTCAGGTTGGCAGGAGTTGTTAGCCGTGCAAGTCCCTGGCTTGCTAAGGAAACGAATGCAACATTAACAAGAGCATTTTGCCCCCAATTTGTTGCCCTTGCAGGCAGCACTGCCTACCTGTCTCACCTCCACCGTGTCCTGCAATCCCAGCCCGGAGAGATACCCCAGTCCATATATGTAAGAAAAGAGGTAAGAATGCTTGCTACATCGTACCTTACTATGCCATTCATTTCCTACATGTAAATAATTTCAGGTCAGACTTTAATCTTATGTAGCAATCAATTTGCTCAAACTGGAGTGCCTGAGATAGGAATTAAGACATACTGAGGTGTCTATATTAGCAGAAGCTCCTGTTTTTCCATTTACTTCAACTTTTCAAAAACCATTTCCTTCATATACTGGCCTCAGTATGGTACCATATTAAAAATTTGATTACTATGTGTAGAACAGGTTTTAAAAAAATATAATTCAACAATCCAAATGATTCTATGGTATCCTCCTCATGTGAGTTCTGGAAAGGTGACCTTCCCAGAAAATATCATCTTGTCTTCTGGTAACTCATGCTCCCAGCTCCTCAGCACCCTGCCCTGATGGGCAGCAGTCTCCAGGGCAAACCTCTCCAAGACAGATGGACTGAGTATGCTTTCATAAGTGGTGTAGAAACTGTCTTCATTCCCAAATGAAACAAAACTAAATCTTGTAATAGCAAAATCATCCTTGAAATGGAACCATATTTTCCTGCTCAAATCTTCCTATAGGCTGACTTCACAGAAATTACAGAAGTTGGGTGATTTATGCAAGTCTATAAAGAAAGTTATAGAGCCGGACAAGATTGTAATTCATATAGGTTTTCCTTTAAAGGTTGTGCACACTCCGTGAACAAAAACCAGATTAGGTAGCTAGCCCATTAAATGTAAATATGAGAAAATAACTAACATAAACCAGCTTTTTACCTATCATGTTGGCAGAAGCGTAACATTTGCTTGAAAACACAGCGTATCTGAGCTGGCTAGAGAGAGTTTTCTATAGAGAATGGTCTCTTTCAAGAGGTGTGAAAAGACTGATTTTTGTTATCTTAGAATAGCAACTGAATAAATTAGGTACCATGATAAGGCTGCAAAATTTCCAAGTGAGAGCAAAGCATCCCAGCCAGTCTCCATTAGGCTCAAAGTATATTGGTTCCAAATCAATAGGTGGCTTCTACAGTCATTTTATAAATGAAGTAACATCTTAAATGGCCATCAGGAAATATATATATGACGCTCTCTGTTGGAGGAGGTTGACATTGGTTTTGATCTATTGGAGATCACCTCCATCTGCTTGTAGTTATCTCTAATTTTGGCCGACTACATGCCAATCAGTCTTATACAGCAGAGAACTTTGCGAGATGTGCACAGGGTGCTGGTATGGAAAGCATTGCTGTGTGCTTTCCTGCTTGTCAGTAAAAGCACCGTGGCCCAGCTGCTGTCTGAATTAGGACCACGTTTTTGAAGATAGAACTTCTGATGGTTCTTGGCACATTCACGATTACATTTTCTGCCACTTCGTTACATAGAGATATTGTTGGAATGACAATACCATTGTCTCCGTGATTTAGTAGAAGATAGTCAATAGCCTATCCCTAATTTAAGTCCAAATGACAACTAGAATAAACATATCAGAGATAATTTGTCATACTGTTCTGATGATGCGTTTGGATCACTTTCCTGCAATTTCAAACCAGGCTCAACACTTCAATCAGTGCAACAATATCAGTTAATGTATCATTTTAAGACCATTCCAGACTACTAAACCCTCTTGTTCAAGACAATTTATAATGAGAAAAATCTGCCTTTTTGCCTGTGTATTGTAATTTTGTCTGGGGAAGCAGTATTTGCTACACTGCTGGAAGCACTTTTCTGCCAGCACAGAATACATCTCTGTGAATTGGATTTCCTGCTATTCATTTTGAAACAACCCTTGGCCAGGGCAGAGTATGCCTCAGGGTATCTTCTACTGTGAAACATACCCAGGGCAATAATTGCAGGTAACTATGGTCCTATGAAGCAATAGTTTCCACCTGAGTCCAAAGATGGAGAGATATCTTTTCCATCCATTACAAACTATTTCAGTATTTATTTTTCTTAAGTTAGGTATGGGAGAAAAGTTCAGGGAACTACACTGCCTAGCTGGTGAACTAATATGTTGTGCCTCTACCTGTCCAGTCAAGAATGGATGGAAAAAATGCCAGAGAGATTGCCGAAGAGGTCCTGATTTCCTGTCCCTTAAAGTACTTCTTCAGCTTCTGGAAAAGCCTGCATTTTGCTTGAAATCTTCCTTGCATTCTAACTTTTTACTACACACAAGATTGTTGCGATCACTTCAGTAATAGTAGCTTCTTTTATTAGATGACAAAGGCTTCATCTACTGCTGCAGCTTTGGTTTTCATCTTTATTTAGCAACATCTCTCAAAACCCAAATTCTATACCTGTAGAGATGCTTTCCCAACAAGACATTCAACACAAATTTTCTCTCAGGCTTTTGAGCAAAGTAAGCAAAGAACCCTAAATGTCATGTGGGGATGGTAACACAAATGCCACTGGTAGTTAAAATAGGGAGCTGAGAACAATGACAGTGTGATATCTTCAAAGCAGCACAGTAATAGCTTAGCAATCTTCCCACCTCCATGAATATCATCTATTTATAATAATGTCCCTTCTGATGTACTGGAGAGGCATAACAGTGAGGCTGTAATAGTTATCTCCAATAAATTATATCTGCCAATCATAATGAGAGGTATAAACATAATTAGATCTACTGTGACAATCATCATGAAATGCTGGCTGCCCAGCTATGACACTCAAACACAGAAATAAGCTATCAAATTTTAAAGTGACCCTTACAAGCTATTTGGTGTGGCCTCCTTGGTAATCAAAAAAGGAACATATTTTAAATTACAGGAGCACTCAACTATTCATTTCATACAATAGGGGGTCAACTCTAAGAAACAAGAAGTATGCATCTCCCAGCCATCTTTAAATATTGCACGTTTAAACTTACTCCCATATATTAATTCCAAATATTTCTACCATAGCCTGAAATGAATAGAAATTCAGTGCAATGACAACACCAGAAAATGGCTTATCCCATTATGGGGCAGACAAATATTCTTTACACCAGTTGGACCTTACAAGCAAATTTCAAGCAAAAATCTTTAACAGTTCATTGCAATAATCACACCTAGAGTAAAGGCAAAGACAGCGACACTGCATTGCATCTATGTCAATTCGCTAATAACAAGATGAACTATGGTGGAATTTAAGGTCACTTATACAATGCCATGGTAAAAGAACATTCTTTACACAGTTGAAGAAACACAACACTCCTTCAAACCTGGGCAGAAAACATCCATAGCAGCCAAGAGTCACTCGGACACAGAACTTGGTAGAGGAGTGGCCACAACAGCACTATGTTTTAGGAAGAGCCTGGTAAGACGGCGGTTTCATAATGGGGATGTGATGCAAAAAGGCCACGCTCTGGCCTGCAAAGGCCAAATTGGAAACCCTAAAATATTGCTTATACACAGCAAAGAGGTTTTGATCTACAGCAGGAACAGTGAAGTT